TACAGAGTTAATGTAATTCTTCGGTAAGCCCTTTAATAACAGATGCCGCCATGAAACCTACTTTAACGTCGAAAATATGGCAATGTATGCGAGTCGGTAATTAAGCATATGTTTCAGAATTTGGGGAATGACAAATATCTAGCCCAAACATCCACATCTAGGTCTGGAACCAGACTAATTTTCTCAGTTTTGTTCTTCACGATCCCTGACTAGGCGTCAGAGTATTATCGAAGCTAATATTAAAGATGTTTTAATAGTCCAACTGGAACCTCAGTGATTATCATTAGAGGATTTTTGTCCTTGCTTATAAAATGGGGCAATGAGAGACTGATATCAAACAGATGGGATTACATTTGATCTCCAGTCAATCCGACAGCTAAAACTGGACCACCGTCCTTGAAGATCTCCGGGGCTAATTCATTTGCACCTAAAGCTCTCCCACGCTTTAAATTGTCCATAATCTTCTCAACCGCACTAAAACTTGAAGAACTGGCATCAACTTGCCATTTATGTTGTTTGAAAATGGTGAGTATCTATTTATTTAGTCTTTTCCACCGCTTTCGGTATTGATAACCAGTGTTGCTCACGATCAATGTGTAGACTTCCTGTCAGACTACGTGGAAGTGTCCTTCGCTCATAATCGTGTTCGGAACCAGATGGGACGAGTTTCCGAGAATTTATCAATTCGATAGATGCTACTGAAATTCCCCAAGCTTTCTTGATATTTTAGTCTGGGCTATTGGTGGATATAACTGCTGTTTGAACATCACAACATATATGAAAGTAAATATCACCTTGATGATTGGATTTCTGCTTCTCTAATTGTTCCTGAAATATACGCATGACTTATTCGTTGTTAAGCTTAACTTTAACGGCTAACACGATCATGGTATTTCTGTGTACATTAAGAAGCAGACAAACATATTCTCGAACTAGAGCATGACCAGTTTAAACGTGTGCTCCAGAATTAAGGACAGTCTTTTATCAAACCTCTCCAACAATGACTGGTATGGATATGGTTTTTTTGAGTTCATCAGAGGGTTGATTCTTGAGGTCATTGTGTCAGACGATGTCTTGTGTTATTCTTAAGGTTGGTGTTTGGTAAAATTGAATCTTTCTAAGCATAGTCTCGTCGGCCGGTGGTTGCTGTCTGTTCGTTGAGCCGGACATCATAAAACCCGTTATTTAGCGCGCTATCCGCGATCGATACTGATACACAAACGTCCTGCATACAAGCTGCCAATAGGCTACTGAGTGAGAAGACCAAAAATGTGGAAGAACATCTTGTTGTGTCTCCGAACTGTAATTAGTGGAAGCATAGGCAGACACAACGAAGAGGCAGGAGTGTTCCCATATATTTTGGAGCTCATATTGCCCCGTTTAATTGAATAGGGTGTAAGCGACTACTTATTGGAATCAAGTTTAGGATATAAGCATGGATGAATAATGGCAACAGTGGAACCCGGGACACTGTTGTGTCTTTAAACTTAATTCTACACCTACGCTAGCGATATCATGGGATGGATAGACACGCAATGTAAACCACGACAGTTCTCAGTACTGACAAGTAGAGGTCAAGTGAATGATCACATCTGGATCTTATATGGGTGTTCCGAAGACACAATAAACATCAAAGGCAAGGGATTCTCGAGTTTTAATTCAGGAAGCCTGTTGTCCTATCTGACATAAGATTAATTCATTGAAGAACGCAACATGTAGTACAGAGCGCGATTTCAATTGTACAGGAATAACATTTCGCGAACTCAAATCATTAGCATTGATGGAGCATGACAATAAAGTCACATGGGAAGGGTCAATCGTAAGAACCGGAGAAGTATTAGGAAGTGACGGGGAGTTTGATGGTGAATAAAGTGATTTTGGTTGCTACTAAGGGTATGAGAGGTACTGTCATTTCTAGGCTGCTCACAACATGAAGGGAAACTTCTTAAGTAACCTGAAAATAAAACAGGAATAGTAGTGGTTTTAGCGATCAGAAAGTGTGATCGGAGAGTCAGACACAATTAATTGAGGTCGGTCACACAGCCTTTACGTGGCAAGTTTTTGAAGTGTTTGATCCGGACATTAGAAGACCTTACTGCCGGAAACGGAGATAAGTGTGGTGAGGTGAAGTGTGACATTTTTAGAACCGACCTTTATTAATACATTCCTTCCGTTGAGAGGAGGCAGTATCGCAGCAGATGCTTGCAGTACAACTTCGATCCCGAACCTTAGGTTGATGCTTTTAGTCTTATGGTTATACCTGTCTGGCATAGTACGACCGAAAAGAACAAATGTTTTAGCCAATATTATCAATTGTACCATTACTATAGACAAGATAGACCAATGCATTAGGGTAGCAGCTACGAGTACGCAATCGTTTTCTACATTACTTGATACACGAGTTTACACAGTTGAGTCAACTTACTGGACGTCATTTTCTAAACGAATATAGCTTCTGTTAAAGGAAAAAACATTATTATGTAATATTGATGTCTTTTCCCCCCTTGATACCTACTAAGTTTTTTTCCTAAAACTATAAGAAAATTATCGCATCCAACAAATTCACAAAGCAGTTAGATGTTATTCAAATTAGCAATCTCATGTTTTGCCAAATTATTGTAAGGGCAAACAGAAGTATAGCATCAAATGTAGATAATCCTGACCAAAATACAGCTTTTGTAGGCTATAGTTGGCAAGTCATTTATATATTTATTTGAACATATAAATATTGATACAAAAGGGCACCGAATACATATGCGCCACACAAGTCACTTGATTTGTGTGTGGGCTATGATACTGTCCGAGTGCCAAAACCGAAGCAGATGGTTTTCTTAGGGGGCGACATCCCGAACCTTCGACTTAAAGGTCTGATCCACAAGGCAGTGGAGCATCGTAAGGAGATGCAGTCCCATAGTAGCCGGTGATCAACGACTGGTACATACGCCATTTGTTCCTTCAGGATCCTAGAGCCTATGTGCACCATCGGTTCGGAATCAGGATTTTCCCACTCCCCAAGGTAGATCCTCCATATTCACCAACCCGGTTAAAGCGCCGGACGTTCGCCTTTCGTCCTATCGATTTTTTAATCAACACCACCGCCTCGAGAAGGTAGTGAGTAGGACTTCCGTGGCAGTGGCAGTATACGTGTGGCCATATGAGAGTATTTCGAGAGGGAGAGCTGACTCTCCTTACCCTCGGGGAGTTCAAACTTTACACTCAACTATATACGCAGGACATTTGGTGATTAGTAGTGCGATTCACCATTTTTCTGATGAAATTATGATATTAACTGTGCAGAAATGTTACACTTACCTTTTTATCTTTTTCTGATCCATCAGTTAAAATTACACCTTTAGATTGCATATGCGAATAAAGAACCCTTTGTAAATCTGACATTTCACATTTAATCACATATTCAACTTTTTCTGGTAATTGCGATTCTACTTCACGTTTGAGACGACGTAATAAGAATGGTCGTAACACTTTGTGTAATCGACGAATAATAAGCAGGGTTTCTTCCTGGTTCAATTCGACCTTTAATAAATAAAAAAGTGAGACCAGTGTTTATTGATACTTATAAAGCCAAGATTACGGTTTAATACAGAAAGCATGATATAACTGCCTTCTGCTTATATTTACATACATGGTTTACTGATAGAGGCTTTCTCTGACAGGAGGTTAAGACAATGTCATGTATATCACACACGATATCTGGCTTTTCAACAACATTTCCACTATTATTGTATTTAGTTTATTTTAAGGAAGACAGGTCAAATGATGTCATACTACGATTATCAGATAACCGAAATAGATCTCTTGATTGCTCGCTTAAATGAGTTTGGTAATTTTAGGAAATAGAGAACCAAAAGATATTTTCCTTTAGCTAAGTTCTCGCTCATTTTTTAGACAAACTGAACATACTTCATGACACGGACAGAAATCAAACATACTGATTGTATAACAAGAGAACTTAAGAGAGATTGCACTAAAAAGCGGATAATTTACTATATCATGTTCATCTGCTTAGTACAGTTAAGATTACTGCTTACAAAAATCTCCGATAGAAATTTTTGTGTAAAGAAATTAGCAGTATTGCCATTATGATAAAAAATTATCCCGACGAATAAAAAGCGGATTATAGCTATTTATCCCATAGTCCTTTACGATTTAGGCATTAAATAATACACGCGTCAGTCAGTCACATAAAAAGTAGGACCATGAATATACATACATCGGTTCAACTTGCCTTTGAGCTCGATCCTGAGCCATGTCACAAATAATCTTCAATCATTGGTTACGATAGTCACGGGAACAACAACCAAGTAGTCTGAATCTACCAACATGGCTCAGACCAGAAGTTAGTGACTTCAAGCATTGATGCCACGTTTTGGTTTGGCCGCTTCTAATTTTCTTTCAACCATCCCCAACACTAGTCAGCATTGCGCATCGTCGTAATCGGTGTTCAGGCATACGTAACACGTGGGCCAACCATCTCAGTCGATGCAGATTTACCACTTCATCAACTGATTTACCATCATTCCCTAATACTCTGCGTCTAACCTTACTATTACTTACCCACTGATCCCAGCAGATGCGAGCAATATTTCTAAGGCATCTGTGGTCAAGTACTAGTAACTTACGAGTACCTTCAACTCTTAATGGCCACGTTTCGAAGCCGTAAAATAAAACAGAACGAAATGATGCACAATACACTCGTCCTATTATCGATAGACGGATGTCTCGCCTTCGCCATAGGTGACGTAATTTTGTAAAAGCCAAACAAGCTTTTCGAATCCGTGCTGAGATTTCGTCAGACACCAACCCATTAGGGCTGATCAGACTTCCAAGATAAGTGAAGTTGTCGACGCGATCGACTACTTCACTCCCTATCATTAGCTCAGGTGTTGACGCAGACCAGTCCTGAAGCAACAACTTGCATTTAGAGGGAGAGAAGCGCATTTCAAGCATTCTGGGATTGTTGCTCAGTGCTATCAAAACACTCCGCATTTTATCAGCGTCTTCACCAAACAGGACTATGTCATCTGAATATTCTAAATCGATAAGTGGAACTCCTGAAAGGAGATCAATGTCCGATAATTTAGTCGACAAGAACGTTACTTCCATCAGTAGGTCTATGATGAAGTCAAACAAAATGGAGAAAATGGGCAGCCTTGACGGACACCACTTGAAGTTGCAAAAGCAGATGACAGTTCGCCATAGGCTCTGACTCGACTAGTAGTGTTCGAGTAAAGAGCTTTCACAAGGTTTATGTACTTCTGAGGTACGCCTTTCAATGACAGACACTGCCACAGAACCTCTCGGTCGAGAGTCAAATGCAGCTTCTAAGTCAAGAAAAGCCACCATTGTCGGACGTCGATAAGCATACCTGTGTTCTAAAACATAACGAATGGTGAATATGTAATAGATACAGCCACAACCAGGTCTGAAGCCAGCCTGATTTTCTCGTGTTTGCAGTTCACGAGGCTTTGTTAGGCGTTCGATAATTATTGAGGTTAGTATTTTAGATGCTATATTAGTCAAACTAATCCATCTATGGTTATCACAAGATGGTTTTAGTCCCTTCTGATATATTGAGACAATTAGTGATTGCGACCAGTCTGATAGTATTAAACTCAGTTACCAGATTTTAGCTAAAATATTAGTCAATCTAATCGCTAGAACTAGACCACCATCCTTAAAGACCTCTGGAGCCAATCCATCTGGACCAGCTGCTCTTCCTCGTTTCAGACTAGCTATAGCCTTTGGGACTTCAGCTAGAGTTGGGGGACCTACTTCAGTGTTCTATTCACGCTGTCTGGGAATGGGGGGGGTAGTTGTAGAGTAACCGAAGGCCAGCCGGACTGTTCTCTAAAATGTTCCGCCCATCGTTCTAAACGTCTGGACTGGGAGCAGATGAGAGTGTTGTCTTTTTCCGAGATAATCTTACTTTCACTTGACTTATTAATTCCAGTTCCTTTTATTAGTCTGTAGAGCTGTCTTGTGTTCCCTATAGCCGCCGCCTTTTCCATCTCCTTTGCTTTCGTTGCCCACCACTGCTCACGATCATTCCTTAGACTTTTGCTTAATCTAGATCTGATTTGTTTACGCTCTTCATCGTGTTCAGAACCTGATGGGATGAGTTTACGAGAATCCATCAGTGCGATAGACCTTGAAGAAATCCATTGGTTCTTTGTAACCCTTTCGTTTAAATCACTAAGAGATGTCACTGCTGTTTCCACAGCTGTTTGTATATCTTTCCAAGCAACATCTGGGTCAGCCTCGTTTTCAGAACTACCTAAGTGTGACCTCAATTGTTCCTGGAACCTTCTTTTGGTTTCCTCGTTACTCAATTCAGTTCTAATGGGTCTTTTTGTGTGTCTATTTTGCGTCCAGTGAGGCTCAAGCAGATGCGTGCCCGTACTAGAGCATGGTCGGAGTCCAATCAGGTACTCCAGAATGAGTGACAATCTTGTATCGACCATCTCCAACGATGACTGATGGCAATATGGTCTATTTGAGTCCATCGTTGGTTTGGTGCAGGGGGTCGCCATGTTAGACGATGTCTCTCCTTATGTGTGAAATTAGTACTTGCTAAAAATAAAAGATTGTCAGAGTAAGACTGCAGTAGACAGTCGCTGAGCCAGAACAGTAAAGCACCCACCTAAATGTCTTTCCGTTTGGTTTAAGCTATCTATCTGGGCATTAAAGTCACCTGCTATGAGTACTATGTCTGAGTGTTTAGCTTTTAGAAGTTCAAAAATATTTCTGCAAAATTCATCTTTCACTTCATCTGGGCTGCAGTCAATGGGAGCGTAGGCAGAAACGACAGAAAGGCAACGACGTGTGTCCCTATCTCTCCGAGTTCTTACGGAGCCTATTAGCCAAACAGTATATTGGCGACTGTTAACAGGGATCCATTCTAAAAGTGCTTGTTCTGCCTTCACACTTAGTGCTATGCCTACACCTGCCAGTCCACGAGAATTTGCCGTCGGGTCGCCAGATGAACGGAGAGTATCTCGTCGGCTCTCCGTTTTGGCGAGGTGAGATCAAGTGACTGACCACACTAAGGTCCTGTATGTGTGTTTCGGAGGCAGCACGCATGGATTCTAGGATTTTAGCTAAGGAGGCCTGCTGACCGATTTGACATAGGGTGAGTACGTTGAAGGCTCCAATGTATAGTTCGCAGAGAGGTTTCAGTAGACTTGGGACAGTGTTTTGCGCACTAAAATCGTTGGCTATGGTGACACTTGAGGAGAAAGCTGAAAGAGGATGTTTAGAGTTGAAAGTCCATGTAGGAGGAATAATAGGAATTGAAGAGGGAGGTTGATTATGAACACAGTGGTCTTGAGTGCTATTTGAGGTATGAGGGCGGTTGTCACATCCCGGTTGCCCACACCGTGGAAGAGTCTTCCTTGAGGTACCTGAAAAAGAAATAGGGACAGAGTTGGTCTTCGTGTTAGCTCCGTATTTGTTGAGACCTTACTGCTGGAGACGGAAATCCATGGGATAAGGCGAGGTGTCGTAATAAGAGAAATTATAACAATACGCCAAGAAGTGATGTCTGATATTTAATATTCACCAATAAAGAAAACAATATTATGTAACAAGTGAAAAGCTGTGCATCTCAGATGTGCTGACTATACCTTAAATTCTGAGAATATAAACACAATACTTCTTACAAACACAAAAATTCGACGTGACTATATGCATACTTTTTCTCCGGTTGCAGCGAAAGGAGCATTAAACCACTGTTCAAATGTATTGACACTTTCAAAAATTGTCGGCAACAAGAAATTCAGTAAAGCCCATAATTCAGGTAATTTATTTTGCAGTGGTGTACCAGTTAGCAGAAGTCGATATGGTGCAGTATAATATGTGTTTAATACTTGAGTCAATTTACAATGGTGGTTTTTCATTCTATGACCTTCATCAATTATCATGTATTTCCACTTCACCTGTTCAATAATTAAATAAAAAGAAATGCATGAAAGTAGCTAATAGATTACAAACAAATAACGTTTTTGAAAGAAAAGAATTATTCATAGTCACTAAGATAAAAACTAGGAGGTAATTAAATGAAACCACCTACATTAAAACAAAAATATACCATCCGCAGAAAGGATTTGGGGATTTTATATAAATCTGAAAAATGATAAGTCCTACATTCTTGGTGACCACTTTTATTTGGCAATTACATACAAACTAAAAGATGACCGATATGTTGAAATCTTAAATAAGTATCAAATCTGACCAATAACATACATCATTCAAAAGACTATATCATAGCTTATTTAAAAGATCCATAAAGAAGAGGTACGACCACTAAAATGAAATTGACCATGTTTATGACATATGTACCAAAGCACGCTTCAATGAACAAAAAACAGTTCTACTTAATGGACAAACTGTAAAGTTAGATTTCCCAACATTGTGAGATTGTGCTTTCGCTTAAAAAAACATGTTCCACAGACATTAAAAAGGAAGAATGTATTTGTAAAATCTCAGCGATTGGCAATCTGGTCCAAGCTTTTTCAAAGAAATATAATCAAACATCAAAATTATCGAATATAATTTTGGTTCTCCGGTATACTGAATAAGTCATTCAATCAACGTTAACAATGTTTAAAGTAGGTATTTACATTAGTGTGTAAGAGACATATGGTGTGAAAACGAAAAGTGTTATGATAACAGATTGTGTGTATACGTAAGTGATGTGAGAAGAAATTTCATTCACTATATATTGTCTTCGGTCGGTGAATATTAAGAAAACATAATTTTTTATATATGATATGAATCAAAAATGTCACAGAATGAATTAAATGAAGATTAATGAACACGATAAAAGAATGAATTCAAAGAGGAATGTAATTAATATACGCTTTACGGTGATCACGTCTGTCAGGATATCAGAAGATAATGAATGTAAAGGATGTAAAACGAAAAATATAGAATGAAGACAAATGACCGAGTAAAAACAGACGAATTCAGTTTTAAAAAATGATAGAAATCGGAGTACGACACGTTATATAGAGAAACGAAACAACTTTAATGCTCACCCATTAATTATATCAACCGTCCTCTTATAAACAATAACAAAATAATCCTACGGTAGTGTTTGCAGTCAGTTTTAACGGTATATATGTATTTACAGACACTCAAGGCCAGAACGTTCTTTCAGTTGGAAAAATCTATTGCTGATTAAAACTTTCTGGAATTCCGTCATAAGCTTAGCAGAGATTCTATTATTGTTTGTTTATGATGCATAGCTCGATTGTAGTTACAAAATTGATTGAGTAATACGTGAATTAGATTTAAAGAATCTATAGAGAAAAGCAAGCCAGCTAATGAAATTGTAAACCGACATTGATCTGTTTAAATCGTATGTAACACGTGCTAAACTACCGATTATCCGGATGCAGAATGACAGATGCAGTATGAGTAGGATGGTATTCTTTCAGAAGCGATTGTATAAAGACATAGTATTACACAATGAGGAAAATGAATAACTGAGATGTAATTGGGACTGTACACTCTTTATATATGATAACGTAGAGTAGTGAAGCCCGGAGTAAGAATATTCAAAACTAATTACAATAATGAGAATAAATCCATCCATTAGATTTATCGTAAATCTTGAATACTATATTATCCAATATCCACTTGCTTTTCGTTTTTGCCATGTACCAAAACTGTCAGTTCCTATATTGTTCGATAAATATAACTACCCACAAACATGATATATTTATTTATAAAAACTGAAAACTAATGTAATTATAAACGTACTTTAGAAAGAGCTGATTTATCTTTAATAATATATTCGTAGGTTGTTAACAGTACATTGATTTTTGATGCTTTTATTTGTGTTTGAAGAAGTCGACGAGCTTGAGGTGAACCTTTATATAATATCTTTTTCACACTTGGTCCCCATCGATCGAACTCCATTGCCCAATTAGACATGACTCTACAATTGCAAAATCAATAAACATCAAAAGACATTTAAAGTGAATGTATCAAAAATAGATAGTTGCCAATAATTGTGTTATCTATGGCATATATAAATTTCAATAAAACTACAAACACAAGTTAGATAACACATGGTTGATTTTAACCACTTAAAAAGCAGAAATGATTGAGTTAAAAAACAGAACGACAGAAACTGGGAGAACGGTAAATAAAAATGAGTAAAATTTCTGTTAAAATACGGCGCAGATTTACGGTGAATAGTTTGAAAGTGTAAAACAAAAAAACACATCTTTTACAGAGTCGTGAACCCTCACTAAATTTTGCCGAGTGAACTGCAAGGACGGACAAAAACAGATATCCTGAGTTTCAATTGATTGTAAAACCGTTGATCTAAAATACAATAAGTTGTGCGAATGTATGAATAAGCAGGACAGAATAGGCAGTTTCTTATATGTTTAATGACATATATGAAAATGGATTTAATACCATATATGGATACAAGAGGATAAACAATTACCATAGAAAAATAAGATAATGAATGCAACGTAAACCTTAACTTACGAAAGCGGTACAATAATCAAGAACGGTCCATTAACGCGTTTCCTTTCCATTAGGTACGTAATCAAAGCGATTGTCTGAATCGTTTTGCCCAGACCCATCTCGTCAGCAAGTATGCCATTTAGGTTATTGTTATATAATGAAACAAGCCACTCGAGACCCCTCAATTGATATTCTTTTAGTCGACCATGGACAAGAATACTAGCTTGTTCTTTAACTTCTTCTCGTACAGCATGAGCAAGAGTATAATAGGATTGAGGTGCATTTGCACCAGATTCACCACGTTTATTATATTCATCATCTTCCGTCCCGACATGTACCATGCTATTGTCATCATCATCATCGTCGTCATCAAATTTACGTTTACGCTTGAATTCTTCGTCTGGTTCCAATAAGTCATGTATTACTGATCCATCAGTATCAGTTGGAAGAATCTGTTAGGCAAATAATTCACAGAAAAATCTCAACTACATAAAAATAACTTTTCTTTGGGTGAAATCTAATAAAGAGAACGTACCCACAAGACTGTATAGTGAGAAATAAAAAAACCAAAATTAGAATAGATTTGAAATACCAACCAATGAGAAGAAAATCACGATAATAGCACTTACAACAGCCTTTATTTTGTGTGGATTATCTTTCGAAACTTCGACTAGGCACAAAAAGCAGAGAGATAGCTTATTACACGGTGATATGGCAACTTGAACTGATGTAAGTATGTACGAAGTTCTACGTTGTTACTGACTGACTGACGGTGACGAGTCATGAACGTTGTACATTGCTGGTATTTATCAGGTTATTACGATTAGTAGGGATTCCGTAACTCAGTGGGGTGATTCATTAACAGACATGACAATGAAGTTAACAGTGATCCAGTTGTAACATTGTTTTAGACTCCTTATGAAAAAGAGATGAGATTTCCTCAATCGAAAGTTTTACTTGTTTGTATTTTTAACTGCACTGTATCTACTCTAAATTTACTCTTTATCGACTGTAATTTATTGTCCTTCATTTCTTTACGTTGTTGCTTTACTTTGTGGAGCATATTAATTTAGGT